ATAACAAATCGGATGAACATTATATATGAGAGCTATAGCTATATCTGAACCGATTTTCACCAAATTTGATAAACTTGTTTCTTGACTCAATTTGGTTGTAAGTGTCAAATTCCATCCCATTTGGGTTAATATTACACGTTTGGTGCACAATAAAAGACAAATCGGATGAAGATATATATGGGAGCTATATCCAAATCTGAACCGATTTCGATAATATTTGGCAAAAGTTATTTCTGAGCTATATTTCTACAAATATCGTTATTACAGAGTGCATATTACGGCTGCGGAGAGCAAAAATAACAAATCGGATGAACATTATATATGGGAGCTATAGCTATAGCTGAACTAATTTCGATCAAATTTGGCATACTTATTTTCAGGCCTATTTGGCTTGTATGAGCAAATTTCCATACTATTTGGGCTGATATTACCCGTTTGATGCACAATAAAAGCCAAATCGGACGAAGATATGTATGGCACCTATATTTAATTTTTGACCGATTATCTCCAATTTCAGTAGGGTTCGTCCTTGGGTCAAATGAATTATTTGTGCAAAATTTTATCTGCATCGGGCAATAAATGCGAACTGTACTTTGTTTACAAAAATACATGGACAGACGGACGGACATGCATAAATCGACTCAGAATATGATTCTATGCAGATCATCAAAATGAACTATGGGTGTATCTCGTCTCTTTTTGCCTGTTACGAGCAAATGCACAAAGACACGATACCCTGGCCACCTTGTGGTGTAGGGTATAAAAAGTATCAGTCAGCTTTGCCAACAAATGTATGCCTCAGTCAACGTTCGATTATTAACAAATATTTTACTTGTGCTACGATTATTTAAACTGTTGCCCCATTTTATGGAGAAGGTTTCGAGGAAGCCAATATTGTCCATCCCGAATCTAGCATAAGTCCTTACCTATAAACACCATATTTGGACTATATCAAGTACTTACTTCACTTTTTATGAGACATGTGATAGTTTTGTGGAATATGTTTAAATGCGCATGAGGTCCCAGATATAGCAGACCGAAGTATTCATCTTCATATAATACTGATAAAAATATTGAAATGTGGAAACTTCAAAGAAAATCACAAATTTATTTCCAATTTTATGCGAATAATTGTTAAACAAAACTTTAACCTTTTTGTGAAGGAGGTGCCAGAAAGCGTGGGCCGATAAATTCCATATTCCCAACAGTTCTTCGGTTGAGAGAGTTTAAATGAGTAGTTGACTAGTTTCGCAAGTTATGAGAAATATAAAAATGTTTAACTTTGCGAACCTTTGTGGGACCGGTACCAGAAGGAGTTGGCGGATACATATCATCTTCACACCAGATCTTGTGTTTGTATAAATGTTGGAATGTGCGAAGTTTAGAAAGGATCAGATGCATATTTCGCATTTTATGAGAGATATAATTATTCAAAATTTTGATCCCTTTGTGGGGGAGGTACCAAAAGCAGTAGACCATAGTAGACCATCTTCTAGATCTTGTTTTAATAAAAATATTGGGACATGCAAAAATTTCAAATTTAAAATTAAGAGTTATAATTATTCCAAATTTTGACTCTTTGTGGAGTGGGCCGATATTGTCCATTTTTGTACCTTACCTAGCACTGACAAAAATATTGGGATTGCAAAATTTGCGCAAAGTTGAATGATCTTTCTGTTTCTATGAGTTAAAGTACTTTCTATGAACATTTTGACCTTTTGTGGGGGAGGTACCAGAAGAAGCGCCCATCTCATAGCTCGATCTAAGTTTGACAATAATTACAATGCACCAAGTTTGAATGAAATCGGATAATCTTTTTGTAAGTTATCGTGCGCCCCAGGCAGCCAGGCAAAGAGAAGGACGGATAGACAGATATTCTGAAACGGATTTGGTCCAAAGATACCTAGGTTGGCTGTATCAACCGATCCGATTGCCTCCAAATTACACACTTCACAATATTTTTATTAACCCAACGTCTGGTGTTAAGATTAAATATATCGATCACCTCCTTCTGGTACCTCACCCACAAAGGTCAAAATTTTGAATAACCATAGAGCTCATATAACGCGAAATTAACATCAGATTTCATTAAAACTTGGCACTTCTCAATATTTCTAACAGCAAAAGATCTGTTATAAAGATGGCAGAGATCGGACCATTTCTTCAGGGAGCTCCCCCACAAAGGTTCAAAATTTTGAATAACCAAAACGATTATAAAATCCGAAATATGCACCCGGTTCTCGTCGTATTTACCACATCTCATTATTTCTACTAACACAAGATGTGCTGTGATAATTCGGTCCACTCCTTCTGATACCTTTTCCATAATGGGTCAAAATTTTGAATATCCATGAGACTTATAAAACTCGAAATTAACATCTGATTCCATTCGGTCTTAGTACATCTCAATATCTCCATCAACACAAGATCTGTCAAAAAGATGGTACAGATCAAAACTGCAGCAAAGTCAAACGACATAATTTTTATTTTCATACCCTACACCACAAGGTGGTCAGGGTATTATGTCTTTGTGCATTTGTTTGTAACAGACAAAAGGAAACGAGATAGACCCATAGTTCCTTTCGATGATCTGCATGGAATCACATTCTGAGTCGATTTATGCATGTCCGTCTGTCCATGTATTTTTATAAACAATGTACAGTTCGCATTTATAGCCCTATCCAGATGAAATTTTGCACAAATCATTTGTTTAGCCCAAGGACGAACCCTATTGAAAATGGAGATTATCGGTCAAAATTTAGATATAGCTCGCATATATATCTTTTTCCGATTTGCCTTTTATTGTGCATTAAACGTGTAATATCACTCCGAATAGTATGGAATTTCGCACGTACGATCAGATTGGACCTCAAAATAAGTATGCCAAATTTGATCGAAATCGGTTCAGATATAGCTATAGCTCCCATATATATTGTTCATCCGATTTGTTATTTTTGTCCTCCGCAGCCGTAACAACAATATTTGGGGAAATTTATCAAATACAGCTCAGAAATATCTTTGCCAAATTTTATCGAGATCGGTTCCGATTTGGATATAGCTCCCATATATATTTTTATCCGCTTTCAAATTAATTGTGCACCAAATGGGCAATACAATTCAGAATTTTAAAGATACAAATGCTTCGGCATATTTAGTCCTTTGAACTTTAAATTATAACTATAATCATAGCGTGTATGATTGAATTCTACCATAAAAACTTTTAATTGTTATGAGGAGCTCCACTAAATTGGCAAAGTGGTGTCGGCCCCCCCTCACTTTAAGACTTTCTTTACTGGTTTTAATTTTATTGAATGAAAGCAAAAATTTTCGGAAATAGCATCAAATTTTATAATAACTTTTGATATTTTCGTGCCCAAGTCTTTATTAAACCCTCCAGAATGTTTTCGCGATAATATTCGGCATGTATTCTGATGCCACGGTCGATTGATACGAGCGAAGAGCGACCATCGGCTGTTGTGGCGGCCCACACCATCATCTTGGCCGGCGCTTGAGTTCTGGTGGCCAACCGAAGGTGCACATTTTCAGCTGACCTCTTTGGCAAGTAAACACGATCATTTTGTTTGTTTACAAACTGCTGGACAACGAATGTTTTCTCATCGGAGAAAACCAAATTCGGCTGTTCACCACTTTCGGCCAGGCGAAGCAACTCTTTAGCTCTTTTGAGTCCGTTTTCTTTCTCTTGCGGTGTAAGTTCTTGTACTTTTTGGTTTTTAAGTGGCTTTAACCCGAGTTTATTTTACAATAGTTACCGAATGGAATATTGCGATATGTTCAGCTCACCAGTCGCTTCTTTACTTTTCGAACCATTTCTGCTGATGTTGCTGTTCTGCTGTTTTCTTCCGTCCACTTCCTTGACGTCGGGCTACGCTACCAGTATCACTGTAACGACCGATGGTACAATACACAATATATTTATTCACATTTAAGTGATGGAGTGCCCTAACGATAGCCACTTGTGGTTTTCCAGCCAAATATAATGAAATCACACTATCACGCTTGAATTCCATCACGAATAACTTTTTTTTCTGGAAAATTCTCAACAAAATGCTTTTGTACGCTTGTGAACAATATAATGAGCTGTCACTGGAATAATTTTAACAGCTGTGGCTTAAAAATGACAGCAGTCTGAAATTGGTTGCAGCTTTTTCATCTCTATCTGCGAACCCCTTCTGGTACCTCAGCCACAAAGAGTCACAAAAGTCAATACTTTTATCTGTGATAACTTGCGAAACAAGTCAGCCATTTTTAAAAGTTGCTATATCTAAATATTTCTCTTAACCAGAAACCTAAGATGAATTAGATGAGGTATGAAAATGGAATACTTCGGTTGACTATATCTGATACCTTACGCACATTTTAAAATTTTCTAAAATTGATCTCATATCTCATATAAAGTGAAGGAAGTAGTCGATATAAGCCAAACCTGGCAAGTCCCAATATTTATATGATATTTATTTAGGTCCAATACAAAATGGACAATATTGGCCTATTCCTTTGGAACTTACTCCAGAAAGGGTTAAGCATTTTAATAATCGTAACAGAACTCAAAATATGTGTAAATTATCGAACATTGGCTGAGGGTATACTACTGTTGGCAAAAGCGACTGATACTTTTTATTATTATTATTTTTTTTTTTTTTGTTTTAGTAATAACTTCGATCAGTATACGATACGAAAAATTGTCTATACTTTCATTATTTTGTTTTTCAACTACATTTCAAAATCACCAATTTAACTATTTTCTTGTTGGCCTTCTTATCTTGGGGGAGTAGTCTTTTGATTGCATTTAACATGGCAACACTGGCAAGAAACAGCTTTCAATCAAATAACAGGTTGTTCTTGCCGGTGCTGCAGACGTTGTTTCTAATGCGACATGAACGCCAACGTCGACGTTGACGACTACGTCTACGTTTATGCTCTCAATGCCGATCGTTGTCTCTGGTTTATTATTAAACAATCAACTGGTTTTGCCTGTCATGTTCGAATGGTTGGTTGGTTGTGTTTTGATAGCCATTGGCTGGGTGAGTGTGCTGCGGTGGCGTTCGCTCGTCTGTCGTCACAGTCCACATCAACAAAACAAACCTTTCGCGTCACCACTCCATCTCCAGATATAGCAGACTACAGCGATTCAGTGCATCGCGGCGAGTATTAAGCGCGTGTTGTACATTTAATATACGGCGATCGGTGAGCGTACGGAGATTACCACCTAAATTTATAACAGCCAAGAAAAAGAAGAAAAAAAAATGTGATTATTATCAAATAAATTTGTTCACAAAGAATCCATAAAAATTCCACACAAGTGTTTTCATGATTGAAATGAAATATCAAAAAAATTTATATATTTTTAAGAAGTTGTGAAGAAAATAAAAATAATATTTGCCCATTTCCAATTTGAGATAAAGGCGAGGCACTTACGGGTTCATTTGCCCTGCCGTTTGTGAAAGTGTTTTTTTTTTTTCTGATCTGCCATCTAAAATGTTTTCGTTTTCTAAATTGTTTTCTCCAGCTGAAAAAACAACAACAAATGTTTTGTCAATATTTTGATTTGGTTTTACTTTCGATTATTGTTTCTAGTTTTCGTTGTTGTCTACAACTCTTTGTTGCAAACAAAACATTGTAAATTAGCATTTAAATGTTTTGTGATTCATTGCAATTCAGTTTAAATTGCTTCGGTTTGAATTAAAATTTTTAAGTGTCAATTCAATTGTTGGCGTTGTTGTGCTTAATTGTTTATAGTATTTGTTATTGTTTCGCATTGCTGTTGTTGTTGTTGTGTGCATGGATCAAGATTAGCTTGAATTCCATTCACAACTAGAATGTTGTTAATGTGAAATGCAGTGGAAATACCAGAAGGCATAAATAATTACGACGTCAGTTAGGTAAGTTTGCGAAGTAATTAAATCTACTATATTTTTTTTTTCTTTTTTTGGTGGGTATAGTTCTAATACGTAATAACGATCGTTTATTTAATTGTATTCCCTCCACCATATTTTGGGGGGTATATTAGACATTCCGTTTGTAACTCCTCGACATAATCACATTGGACCCTACAGGGTATATACATTCTTGATCAGAATAAAATCTAAGTCGATTTAGCAATGTCCATCTGTCTGTTATAAGCACGCCATCTTTAGAACGAATATTGCACACATATACAGGGTGAAATGAAAAAAACTGCAACCAATTTCAGACTGCTGTCATTTTTAAGCCACTCGTACGACAGCTGTGAAAATTATTCCAGTGACAACTCCTTATATTGTTTACAAGCGTACAAAAGCATTTTGGTGAGAATTTTCCAGAAAAAAAGTTGGAAAACCACAAGTGGCTATCGTTAGAGCACTTCAGCATTTAAATGTGAATAAAACTTTTGTGTCCCGTACCATCGCTCGTTACTGTGATACTGGTAGCGTAGCCCGACGTCAAGGAAGTGGACGGAAAAAAAGAGCAACATCAGTAGAAATGGTTCGAAAAGTAAAGAAGCGACCTGATCGAAACCCGCGTCGCAGTGGCCGAAAAACGGCGCGTGAGCTGAACATATCACAATATTCCATTCGACAAATATTAAAAAATGAGCTCGGGGTAAAGCCATTGAAATTCCAAAAAGTGCAAGAACTTACACCGATTTGCTTCGCTTGGCCGAAAGTGGTGAACTGCCGAATTTGGTTTTCTTCGATGAGAAAACATTCGTTGTCCAGCAGTTTGTAAACAAACAAAATGATCGTGTTTACTTGCCAAAGAGGCCAGCGGAAAATGTGCGCCTTCGGTTGGCCACCAGAACTCAAGCGCCGGCTATGGTGATGGTGTGGGCCGCAATAACAACCGATGGTCCACATGTATTTATAGCCCCCATATAACTGTACCTCCATATATTCGATATTTTGATAATTTTAGCGACATTGTTCACCGGAATCGTTTTATGTTTAGTAATGATAGTTCGTAAAGAGTACTACAGTCTGTGACGGGAAAATGGCTATGCAGGTCCACGTCTTTGCACAGCAATTGTTTCAAATTACAGGTACTACAATTTATGGCAGAAAATTGTCTATGCATATCCAGGTCATCTTGTAGCTCCCATATAAAGGAACCGACCTATATTCGTTATTATGCTGATTTCAGCGACGCTATTCACCGGAATTGCTTCAAATTTCGTGTATTAAATTCGTAATAGGTACTACAGCCTATGACAGAAAATTATCTATGCAAGTGCAGGTCTTCGTATAGCCCCTAAATATCGGTACCTCCCTAATTCTGTATTTTGATGATTTTAGCTATATTATTCTTCGGAATTGTTTCAAATTTCATATTTGCACTTTGAACTAGAGTATTTTTAAGATTTTAATAGAATTTTTAAAGGTTTTTATTTATTTATTTTTTTTTTTTAATATTTCCATATCCGTTCCATATTGTGGAGGCTATTCAAAGTTCGGTCCGTTCGAAGTTACTGCTTTTAAATTTGTTACTTGTTGAATTTCTCTTTATTCATTTTAACATATGTATGTAAAGATAAATTAAAAATTTTCCAATTTGCGGATAAATATTTTTCGCAGGAAAAGGGTCACTTTCACAAAATTTTTTTTTTCTCAAAATATTTGCTATAGGTCAATTGATTTTGAAAATAGAAGACGTGAGCTTTCCAGCGCGCCTTTTCATATAGACGCAGGTGTCATAGTTTTCGCACAATGGGCCGATAAATAGAGTTTTCACAGTAAAATTTAATTTTAGTTGTTACCCCTAATATTCCACAGAAGTTACCCCTAATATTCCACAGATTCCGCCTCCAATAATCATATGTGCTCCAGAAAATGCTCCTTCTACTAGTAATAACGATTTAATCATAGTTGCTCCCAGAAAAAGTATATTTGTTTCTAGACTACATCCTAGTACTTCTGTAGATAACATTAGTAATTATATCAAGTCAAAACTTCAAAACGTTCTTGATAATGATTATAACATTTTGAAATTTAACTCATCTATACCACGTGATTTATCATCATTTAAAATAACGGTTCATTCTAAATTGTATGATCTAATGTTAAAAGATTCTTTTTGGCCAGACGGTGCATTGGTAAAAGAATTTGAATTTAGAAAACGGCGAAATTTTGTAAAACCAATAACGCTACCTTCTGATTCGAATGTCCCAAAAAACTAAATAAATCTATATCTTTGCTTTATCAAAATGTTAGAGGCCTAAACACTAAACTTAAAAATACATATTTAAAGTCTTTTGAATCAGATCTTAAAATTCTCGTTTTTACAGAAACTTGGCTTAAACCGGATATCCGTGATACTGAAATCTTATCCGATCAATACCAACTTTTTAGAAATGATAGATTAAATAAAGTTGGTGGAGGGGTACTCATAGCAGTTCACAATTCCATTTCCTCTGAGCGTGTTATGCTTACTGATAGTCAAGATGTTGAATTTGTATGTGTGAAATTATCTTACATTAACCAAACTATTTACATAACATGTTCGTATATTCCTCCAAATTCTGATTCAAACATTTATTTAAAATATTCTGAATTAATTAAAAACGTTTCACATATTCACTCGCCAAATTCTGAATTAATTTGTCTTGGTGATTTTAACTTACCAAATACATCGTGGATCCTTGATGATGACACGGCACATTATGTACCTGTTTCGTCAACAGTACAGTCTAACGATATGGAAAATTTTTGGCAAAATATTTTTGACCAAGGTCTATATCAACTCAATAATATTTATAATTTTAAAGGTAAAATATTAGACTTAGTGTTTTCTTCATCCGTTAATACTTCATTAAGTAAATGTTCACCTTTTGTAGAACCGGAAGATAAATATCACCCAACACTTGTCATAGACCTTGAACTTAATATTCAAACAAATTATGCAAAACCACAAACTAAGCCTCACAAATTAAATTTTTCTAAGACTAATATTAATCTCCTTCGTTCTATATTGTCCAATTCAAGTTGGTCTCATGAAGGTGACATTGAATTGCAAATTTCAAATTTTTATAGCGTACTTAAAAATGCGTTAACTATATCAGTTCCATTATTGAAGTTCTATCCTGACTCAGGACCAGTTTGGTTTACCCCACATCTTAGGCGCTTGCGCAACATAAAAAGTAGGTTATTTAAAAAATTTAAAGAATGTAATACCACTTTAAATTATTCAAAATATTCAAAAGCTCGAAGTAAATATAACATTGAAAATTTAAAGTCTTATTCGATTTATTTAAGAAAAATGAAAAATAACTTTCAGAAGAGTCCTAAAAGCTTTTATAAATTTGTAAATTCAAAACGTAAAGTCCGCGAATTTCCTAGTAGCATGAAACTTGGTTGCAGGGAATCAGGGGACCACCTTGAAATAGCAAATTTGTTTGCTGACTTTTTTCAAAATACTTACTCTAAGCATAATCATAATGACAATTATGCTTATAATATTAGTAGATTAAATTATTTCCCCCAAATTATTCTGTCTGAGGAGGAGGTTTTAAATGGTCTTCTATCGTTAAAAAGTAGTAATTCCCCTGGTCCTGATGGAGTACCTGCTTACATTTTAAAGTCATGCGCATATGAGCTTTATTTACCTCTAACCACTATATTTAATTATTCTTTGACATCTGGTTATTTTCCTCAAGTATGGCGATCTAGTTTTGTTATTCCTTTGCATAAAGCTGATAATAGAAGTGTCGTCGAAAATTATAGGGGTATTGCAAAATTAAGTGCAATACCGAAATTGTTTGAGTTTTTAGTCTCGCGTAGACTAACACACTTTGTTTCGTCTATAATATCGTCTTACCAACATGGATTTGTAAAGGGTAGGTCAACTGTAACTAATTTATTAGAACTTATATGTTGTGTACACAGGGGGTTTTCAATAAAATGCCAAACTGATATTATATATACTGATTTCAGTAAGGCTTTTGACAAAGTGGATCACTTATTATTATTACATAAACTTGACAAAATGGGTTTCGCAACATTATTTTTATCATGGATATCATCTTATTTGCAAGGGCGTACACAGAGAGTTTCTTTCAATAATGTTCTTTCTAAACAGATAACTGTGTACTCTGGTGTCCCCCAGGGTAGCCATTTAGGTCCTCTACTTTTTGTATTGTATCTAAATGACCTTCCAACGGTTATACGTTACTCTAAGATCCTAATGTTTGCTGATGATGTCAAACTTTTTTGTAATATGGACTCTCACATTAGTTCCCTTAACTTGCAACATGATATCTACTGCCTTGTTAATTGGTGCAGTGCTAATGGTATGACGCTAAATCTCAAGAAATGTAAAAAACTGTCTTTGTTTAGAACACAACCTTTTAAAAATGATTACCTCATTGGTTCTTACAAATTGGACAATGTAGACTCATTCGTTGATCTTGGTGTAATTTTAGACAATAAATTGCGTTTTAATTTGCATATTGATTCATGTGTAAATAAAGCCAAGTCATTGCTGGGTTTTATAAAAAGATGGTCAAAAGAATTTGACGATCCTTATGTGACTAAGCGTTTATTTATTAGTTTGGTTCGGCCCACTTTAGAATACGGTTGCGTATTGTGGAGTCCTTTTTACAAAACATATTCTGCTAAATTGGAATCAGTACAAACCCAATTTCTTTTATTTGCTCTCAGAGGATTAGGATGGGATATAAATGATACACTTCCACCATATGAGAATCGCCTAAAACTAATTGATCTTCCGACACTGGAAAAGAGACGTTTAACGTTAAGAGCTTTATTTATTATAAAACTTTTGCGTGGCGAAATCGATTCACAGTTTTTAACCGGTGAATTAAATTTTAATATTCCTGCTCGTAATACTCGAAATTACATACCACTTAAACTTTGCTTGGCTAAATCCAATTATGAATCTTATAATCCTA